AGAACGCAAACCCTTTCCTTAAAAAAAACAAAACAAAACAAACCACCACCAAAACCGAAAACACACACACACAATTCCAAACCCAAAACAAAAAAAACAAACCGCAGCATCAGGCTCCTCATTTTTTTGGAAAAAAATTTGTTATCTCAGTATATGAAACTCTTTTAAAGGTAAATTTTTAATCAGGAAAAGCAATAGTGAAAATATGAAATTGATTGTTTGAATGATATCAAGCCTTTCTTAACCTCTTGAATCTAGATATTTATAAGCATGTATTTTCTTATAAGATGTTTAGAGTTGCCACTTGAGTCCAAATATACATGAGCAGATGCATACAGTGAAAAAAATAATGAAGAAATACATCATCAATACTGATCAGGCCACTTGGTTCTCTGATTTGCAGTCAGATTTTTAACTAAGCACATTATTCTCTGCCAACAATATTAGAAATTAAGAATCAGTGAATGGCATAGTTCAAATCCAACAGCACTCAAGCACTTGGAGTAAATATAGGAACAGGTTGGAAATAAATAAGCCAACACAAAGCTCCATGCTGTCCTCCCCAGATTGTTTTCTACAGCTAGAGAGGCGAGGTGTCACTATACTACACAATGCACAACATCTCAAATATATACTAGGGGAGAAACCATCTGTACTTTGAAAAAAAAAAAATTCACAACACCAAATATAGGGCCTGGGCAGAGATAAGAAACAATGGCAGCTAATTATTAAAATCAGCCAAGAAGTATGGTTAGTTTTCCATATCGAGAACAATGAGCTTTCCCAATGTTCATTGTTTTTAAGCATGTTTTTACTAAAGTGACCATCTTAAAAGTAGCAAAAAATGAGGTTTCTGATACACACAATGAAATATAAATTCCCAGTAAAGTTAAACAGCATTAATGGAAACATTGCTCTTATATTGCCTGGCTACAGAAGTATTACTGCTGTGTACTAACTTCTAATTCCTAATGATGGTATTTTTACAGAAGTTAATAAATCTAAACCCATCAGAGACATGAAAGCAATGCAGGTTACTAAAAAAAAATACCCACAAAACAAACACCAAACAAAACCAAACAACCACCACCTGAGAGAATGGGAAGAACACAACTGTCTCATGACATGTACATTTCTTTACAAATTTGGTTTGAAAATACTGATTTGTTGGTACTAAAATTACCCCTCTACATATACTATGCATATGATTTATTAGACTGTACTTTACTGATATTTGTAATTCAAGAAGTTGATTTGCCACATATTAAATTATGTCTATTGTTCACTATAGCCATCCCATAATATCCTATTTAATAAAAACTGAGCCATGAATCAAATTAATTTTTCTATCTTCCTAATCTTGTTAAATATAATAAAACCTCTGCTTTTCCAGAACGACCCCCAGATATGAAAGAAAACAATTAAAAATGCATTCATTTCCCTTATGTGTTAACTCAATACCTATGCAGACCTTGGCCTAATCTCACAGAAGATTAGTTTAACATTCAAAAGTTGTAAGAAAGATGAATCTCCAAAGTTTAGTAGCTTTAATATTAATGTAAACAAGTTCCACAGAAATACTACTGAAAGTAAATAGGTAGTCATAGGCAGATAAAAATCCAGGCTGACTTCAGAAGATCTGAGATTTAAATAAATCTGCTTCCAATCAACATTAATCAAGAATATTGGGTCTATCATAAGACAGAGGAAGAAAAATTTTTAGAGTTTCCAGGGTGGGGTGGGGAGGAAGTAACCAATTATATACTAAGGTATATTCAATCCAGAAAAACAGATGATGAAAGATTAGGTTTTGGTGACAGACTGTACTTCAACCTACTGTTTTCAAAAATAATCACACAAGAAAAGAAAGCAAAATAAATCCCACCTATAGTAAGAGATAAATCATGATATAACTAAATGCAGCCTCTTCTTACAAGTTGGCTCCTCCTCTAAAATTATAGCACAAACATAGGATTATAATATATTTTATAAAAAAATAAAAAAGAAATCTAGGTTAATATAAATCAGTTCATTTTATACAGAAATTTAATGTCATCTATTCTTGCCACAGAGATAAAAAGAACAATGGTAAATAAATAAATAAAGGACTCAAACTCAGGTTAGGGTTACAGATAAGCATGGATAAGCATTTACCAAGGCAATACCTTGTAAGATCCAGGTAACAGGTTATGTGCCACTGTGTGGGAATCAGATTCTTAGATTCTGAATCTCAGGGATTTTGTTTGCTCACTTTTTTTTTTTTTTTTTTTTTTTT